GGCTCTAAGCCAGAGCTTGGTGTGACGTGACGGCCTGGAGGTGCATCACCAGTGTTACCACCAGTGTTTCAACAAGAGCGTCAATAACAGCTGACTAAACTGAGCTGTGGGGATGGCAAAATATCAGACAGATGTTTGACCTCACCAAACGCAAAACAAAGTTATAAGAAGACAACATTTAGATGTATTTAGGCTAACAGACCTCTTGTCTCTACAGTTCTGTCATTTCCTTCCTCACATAACTCTTTCAGCAGACGTACAATGGCAGGTAGTCTGTCCCTCACTGTTCTGTAAGCATTGTACCTTCATACCCACTGTGTTTCTATCAGCCTTTGTAACTCTCTAGGTGGACCTTAAAAATTTGCCCTTTGTACCTCTAGCCACTTTTGGTACCAGAAACAAAAACATAAAGCTATTGGAAAAAAGACAAAAAACCCCAGTCTGCTTCAGGAATGCTTTTCACACTGTCAACTAATACTAAACTTAAACAATGTGCATTAAAGCAAACATAAAAAGCTAACAGGGCATCAAATTTAACGCGTGCCTGCACACCTGTGTTCTTTCCACTCATTACTGAGGCCCCATCATTTACAAGGTTAGTGTTAAACCACAAGGTGGTTTCTGTAGTCAGGGCCATACTTCTGCAGCATTTATATCATTTTCTGTGAAAGTGCTGCAGCATCCAGATGCTATGCAGCTTTAAAGTTGAGGAAGCACCCACACACTGACCCTTTATAATAATATGTTATTACAAAAGACATCTGGTCCTTCTTACTGAGGTCTTTGGTTACATCCACCATTATAATAAGAGCCTCACTTTGTGTAATTTCACTAATTATTGAGGAAAGGCCCATTTTAGCCAGGCAATCCATTATTTCATTTTGTGTAGCATGTCCAAGGTATGTGACATTTCTCTGACTTGTCTTTTTTTTTTCTTACAGCAGGATCGTGCTTTGCTCGTAGTTCCATAATTGACAGGAGATTTCCTTTATTTTCACCATCTCTGTCATTGTGTGCTCTCTGTGCTATGTTTTGACAAGCTGATTTGTTGTGTTGCAAAGTTATTGCATATGATATGATTTTCTGTACTTTACTTTATATAACCTGTATATTAGTATTAACAATAACAGTAAGTATAATAATAGGCAACACAGGATGGAAAAAAAAATTCTCAACTTTTAATATTAATAATAAGAAATGCCAAAATGAAAACGCTTCAGTTCAGACTTTAAAATGAAGCATTTTTGCAACAATTTTATTTTAAATTACAGTTTTTATGTTTGTTCAAAAAGTCTATCATTGCACTCAGTCACAGCAATGTATTTATGCACCAAAATAACCGGATTTTATAGAGTTCTGATTTTGAAAAAGACTAAAAAAAATGGCCTGTATTTGTTTAGCGCTTTACACATTCAGTCATCCACCCATTCACACACTGGTGATGGCAAGCTACATTGTAGCCACAGCCACCCTGCCCTCTGCCCACCACCAGTAGGCAACGGGCGAAGTGTCTTGACAGTCTTGGTCATTACGGACACAACGACCGAGACTGTAAATAAGGATTATATGTTTGTTTCATTTTTGTAACTGTGTTATTTTAGTCAGATTACTTTGAATCTTTACATCCTGTAACTTGATGGAACAAAACAACTGATATGTGAATACAGTAACTAAAAAAATCAGTTGAATTAAAATGAAATTAGTGCCTGGGCCTGCAAATTATCTCTTAAAGCAGGTTTAAAATTAGTTATACCATAAACTAAAATATTACATGTTTGGCTACAAACAAATAATATGAAATAATTGACCTGTAAATAAAAAAACTTGAGTTTTTTATTAAACAAAAGACAATTTTGTTGTGTAACATAACCAACGGGACTCTCATACCTTGGTTTATTCTAATCTTCTTTTTTCTCATGCATGGAAGAGGTTTAGTTTAAAAAGTGCAAAAAAAGGGACCCCCCTCCCCCCAACATCTGAACAAAGATATAAACTATAAACAAATGGCAAAATTGTGCAGATTGCAATGATTGCCTGAAACTGTCTGATTAATTGTACTTGTTGAAAAGCAAACTTATGGCATCTTCATTCTCATGCGGCTTGCCCAACCT